GGGTTAAGTATGGCCCAACCGTGGAGCCCCCGAAATAGATGAGGATCGATCGGTCGCAACGGAAGGAGTTGACTGCAGTTTGCAGTCGGTGCTCTTCAGTTTTCTTCATAAAATCGATCTCCTGCCAGTGAAAAGGGTAACCTCTGCATCTCCTCTGCTGCTCTTCCACTGTTGTTAACCCTTTCTTCCATCATTCGGCCCTGTGTGGCTACTCAATGGGATTTTTGGCGCCGTTCATCAGCCTGTGAAGCGGAACAGCATCTGAAGAAGAGCAACACGAAGACGAGTATCTTGAGGACGAAAAGGGAGTTACTTTGAAGACGACCAGGGAGGCACGGCCAGCAAGAGCACCTGGTGGAACCGTGGAGAAGAAGATTCTACAGTGCAGACGAGAGCGACAAGCAGAACTATCAAGATCACCACCGGACAGCCAGCCAAAGAAAAAGAAGTCGAAGTCCTCACTGTCTCTGTGAGTACTGCTTCGCCATCCTCAAGCTCCCAATAAGCAAGGTCGCACTCATCCAATCCGGCAGCAGCAGTCCCCACAACAACGGGCACGCTACCAAACGCCAGGCCACACTTCCAAACCCCGTACGAACGATCCGGATCCGGCGGCAAAAGTCCAAAAAATAATCCAACAGGCCACCACCACTGGAGTCTCCACGAGCACTGGCAAACCATTATCCAAGCAGGTTCATTCTGGGAAGGAAAAGCGTCGCAAATCCCATCTTGATAGTCAACAATGAGTGGAAAAGGAGGATCAAAGAAGAAAGGGGTCACTCCCCGTCGAGCAACCGTCAGAGGAAGTCTCGTATGATTGGTAGAGACAAAGATGACAATGACAAGCATGTGGAGTCTCTGAAAGATAGTGAAAAGGTCACTTACTACATTAGCTTACGAGGAGGAGAAAAAGAAGAATGAGGAAGCCGACAAGGAGGAGCCTGATGAGGAATGGGAACCTGACACTTCGATCTGGAAGAGGCCCTTGGCAACAACACAAGGGGAGTAATGATTATATAGCAGCTTCCGGCTGTTTCAAGAAGATACCTGGATTGACAAGAAGTTTAGCAGCGAGAAATCGGAGGAAGCCATTGCTATCTTGTACTGGATCGACTGGGCAAGAAGGCCTTCTTGTTGACGGCGACCGTAAGAAGGACAAGGGTAAGTTCTCGCTACTCGATCGGAACCTTTTGGTTGTCTAATTGCCCAGTGCACCTGACCAATCTGGAACCGTTGTTCTTCTCTTCTTTACAGTGATCAAGGAAAGGCGCGCCGCATGGGTTGCCATTGGAAAGATGCTATCACGGCAATCATGAACGAGCAAGCAACTTCGCGTGAACCAGATGTACATCAGACCGAGGACTTTTGTGCTGCACATGGACTCGACAAGATGCCAACCCGGAACAGCTCAAAGCTGTGGTGATGCGGGAGGTTCCTCTGAAGACCTTGCCCAAGATGCCAGTGCACAAGAAAGGCAGCGCGTGAGGAAATCAAGCTGCATTCTTCCCTTTACACGGAGAAGCTTTTGCCAGTGTTGCTGGTGCATCCAGCGGTTTAGGGAGTCAATCCCCACAACCAGTTGATTAGTGTGGCCAAGTGGAAGGGAAAGCTGTGTGTTTCCTCCCGGATCTGAGGCATGACCCTCCTCATCTACGAGAACTCCTACACCGATGGAACCTCTGCTTCCGCCTGGGAACAATGATGTGGCAGAAAGAGAATGGACTGCCCCCAAGAGCAGCAAGGACTCGGAGACAAAAAAGTTTGCTACCAAGACTCAAACTCCAAGGTGGCAATGCCAAGTATGGAGTTTGGTCCAATGCAGGCCGAAGGCGCTACAATGCCTCAAGCTTGAGGTTCAGGATGCCCGTGCAAGCCCAATGCCCAAGATGCAGAACAACAAAGCTGAAATGATGTTGCAAACTTGTGGAAAGGAAGACCACGAGCCCGATCCGGATGCGTGAACAAGAAGAAGAAGAAGGCAAGCGTTCCTACGATGATCTGGTGGACTTGACTAGGGTCCTTCCAGTTGTCAATTGGCAGCCAAGCCCCATTGAATGGGAAGCCTTTGGCCGCCTTTTGATTCCCCTGGTGCTTTTTGGCAGGGCTTTTGTGAGAAATTTGTTGCCCAGTTCTCTCTGTTCGGAAGCCTTCCGGTGCTTTTCGGTACCCATTGCCTCCCTTTCCTTTTGCTGATCTTGTTAATTTGGTCGGTGGGGTTGCCCATCTGGTAGCCTTTTTCACCCTTTTCACCCCTTTCACCATGAGATCTTTTACGGTGATCCCTTTTTTGGTGACTCATACTGCTCTATTTGGATTAGCGTTACATCTAGCATTTTGATATTCCCACTCTTATCCTAGTCTTATCTCGTTTTAGCTGGTTTTAGTTGAAACTTGGCCACCTGCAGGTCCATTTTGGTAGGTAACGCCTCTGCGATTAATAGCCCCTCTGTGCAGGATTTATTGTTGTTGGGAATGCTTTCTTCATGTTCTGCCATCCAAAAACGATGGCGATGTGACTTCTTTTAGTAGACAATGACTTAACGGTTGGATACCACAATGGGCACAAAGGGTAACATACCACGTACTGAATTTGTTTCCCCTGCCATTAGTAGATTGTAAAGTACTCACTTCCCAACCTGGACACCGGTTGCCTAATTGGAACCTTGGACTTGGTTCGAAGGAGAGGTTGGGATGTGCTTCCCAAACGAGACCGAGGTCTCGTTTTCAGAATTACTACAATTGCGCTTCTTAGATGATGCAAAGCCCTCGACCAACATGTGTTTAACTTCGGTACACTGGATCTGGAACGGCAGACCAGATGATACGCACATGGGAGAAATCGTCTCCACGTTGGAAAACGATGGGTGACGACATGAGAATGAGCTACGCAACCTGAGACAGACAGTGTTGGTAGCACCGGTGTACTCAACGGAGACCCAGAACAGGCTTGAAAGCGAAGTACGACGTGAAGTGAAAACCGTCGTCTCCTATCGGCAACCCAAGCAAGCCTACCTATAGAATCAGAGATAACCGAGTCACCAATGACCCGACTCTCGTAGCTACGCACACTAACGATAAAAAAGCACAACTCGTTAATGAAAAAGCCGACCTTACGGCAGCAATAGCCGACCCACCGGAAGAGAACTCCGGGGACTCGAGAAAGCAGAGATGGAGGGCTGATGAAGACCACCTTACGAGGTTGGCAAACTACAAGAAAATAGAGGAAAAGCTTTCAACTTGATCCTAGGCAGTGCACCCGACTATTAAAGGACAAGATGAAGCAGAACACGGATACGAGACGTCCTGTTAAAATGCACCCACTGGAGCTACGAAAAATGTTCCATAAGACGATCATGGCCAGACCGATGATAATTTTGTGTACCACACATTATTCCAACTGGAAAAACAACTGTTGAATTTTCCACCAAGGGAGCCTTACCGCTTCCGAATACCAGAGCAATTTACAACGAAAAGGACATTGCAAAATCCGTGGGTATTTAAAAGATACACGATGCAGCCTGCTGCATACGGCTAAACACTCCACCCAAACACAGCATACGCTGACCTTGGAGCCGATGACCAGAAGAAAGTCTCGGCATACGCGAAGAACGGTACTATAGTTACATCTTCTTAACAAATAGTTCAGCCGAAAATACAAAGCTTAAACAGAACTGAGGGACGACTTTGCAAAGGAACTGATAACTATCCCCACAGTTACATGAGGTATTACAACTCTATCCTCAGACTCTTTGATCATAGTCATGTTGGCCCTGCGAGATCTACTAGGGGGTAGAAGCTTGTGGTTGACATCAAATCTGGTAGCAGCATTGGTCAGGACCTCCTTGTATTTCCATATGAATAGGACATGTGGGCACCGTTACTGCACATGTTCTCCTGTTCTCTGGCGCTGATGTCGTTGAGGACCTTGATGTCGATGAACGCCTGCTGCAGGAATAGTTTTTGGATGCTATCACTGAGCATCCTATTGGAATGCCTACATTAGTGGAAGAAACCACATACATGCCTAAACCGCTACCTAAGGAGTGTAGAGAAGCTTTTCACAGCAGAATGAGTATGGAGGAGGGTACGTACAGACACACATGTACTAGCACGCGATTCCCATTGACTGAATGCGTTAGATTGCAACCAGCCGTTCGTGTGTGACTACTTTTGATATCAACTCCATACACAAGGATGCGCAGTCTCGTAGGAATCGTACTAAGTAAGAGCTACTGGTGTCGGGTTAAGTATGGCCCAACCGTGGAGCCCCACGAAATAGATGAGGATCGATCGGTCGCAACGGAAGGAGTTGACTGCAGTTTGCAGTCGGTGCTCTTCAGTTTTCTTCATAAAATCGATCTCCTGCCAGTGAATAGGGTAACCTCTGCATCTCACTCTGCTGCTCTTCTTCCACTGTTGTTAACTCCTTTCTTCCATCATTCGGCCCTGTGTGGCTACTCAATGGGATTTTTGGCGCCGTTCATCAGCCTGTGGAAGCGGAACAGCATCTGAAGAAGAGCAACACGAAGACGAGTATCTTGAGGACGAAGAAGGGAGTTACTTTGAAGACGACCAGGGAGGCTACGGCCAGCAAGAGCACCGTGGTGGCAACCGTGGAGAAGAAGATTTCTACAGTGCAGACGAGAGCGACAAGCAGAACTATCAAGATCACCACCGGACCAGCCAGCCAAAGAAAAAGAAGTCGAAGTCCTCATCTGTCTCTGTGAGTACTGCTTCGTCATCCTCAAGCTCCCAATCAGCAAGGTCGCACTCATCCCAATCCGGCAGCAGCAGTCGCCACAACAACGGGCACGCTACCAAACGCCAAGGCCACACTTCCAAATCCCGTACCGAACGATCCGGATCCGGACGGCAAAGTCCAAAAAATCCAACAGGCCACCACCACTGGAGTCTCCACGAGCACCTGGCAAACCATTATCCAGCAGGTTCATTCTGGGAAGGAAAAGCGTCGCACACATCCCATCTTGATAGTCACAACAATGAGTGGAAAAGGAGGATCAAAGAAGAAAGTCACTCCCCGGTCGAGCAACCGTCAGAGGAAGTCTCGTATGATTGGTAGAGACAAAGATGACCATGACAAGCATGTGGAGTCTCTGAAAGATAGTGAGAAGGTCACTTACTACATTAGCTTGTACGAGGAGGAGAAAAAGAAGAATGAGGAAGCCGACAAGGAGGAGCCTGATGAGGAATGGGAACCTGACAACTTCGATCTGGAAGAGGCCCTTGGCAACAACACCAAGGGGAGTAATGATTATATAGCAGCTTCCGGCTGTTTCAAGAAGAATACCTGGATTGACAAGAAGTTTAGCAGCGAGAAATCGGAGGAAGCCATTGCCTATCTTGTACTGGATCGACTGGGCAAGAAGGCCTTCTTGTTGACCGGCGACCGTAAGAAGGACAAGGGTAAGTTCTCGCTACTCGATCGGGAACCTTTTGGTTGTCTAATTGCCCAGTGCACCTGACCAATCTGGAACCGTTGTTCTTCTCTTTCTTTACAGTGATCAAGGAAAGGCGCGCCGCATGGGTTGCCCATTGGAAAGATGCTATCACGGCAATCATGAACGAGCAACGCAACTTCGTCGTGAACCAGATGTACATCAAGACCGAGGACTTTTGTGCTGCACATGGACTCGACAAGATGCCAACTCCGGAACAGCTCAAAGCTGTGGTGATGCGGGAGGTTCCTCTTGAAGACCTTGCCCAAGATGCCAGTGCACAAGAAAAGGCAGCGCGTGAGGAAATCAAGCTGCATTCTTCCCTTTACACGGAGAAGCTTTTGCCATGTGTTGCTGGTGCATCCAGCTGGTTTAGGGAGTCAATCCGCCACAACCAGTTGATTAGTGTGGCCAAGTGGAAGGGAAAGCTGTGTGTTCCTCCCGGATCTGAGGCAATGACCCTCCTCATCTACGAGAACTCCTACACCAGATGGAACCTCTGCTTCCAGCCTGGGAACAATGACTGTGGCAGAAAGAAATGGACTGCCCCCAAGAGCAGCAAGGACTCGGAGACAAAAAAGTTTGCTACCAAGTACTCAAACTCCAAGGTGGGCAATGCCAAGTATGGAGGTTGGTCCAATGCAGGCCGAAGGCGCTACAATGCCCTCAAGCTTGAGGTTCAGGATGCCCGTGCCAAGCCCAATGCCCAAGATGCAGAACAACAAATGCTGAAATGGATGTTGCAATATTGTGGAAAGGAAGACCACCAGCCCGATCCGGATGCCGTGAACAAGAAGAAGAAGAAGGGCAAGCGTTCCTACGATGATCTGGTGGACTGTGACTAGGGTCCTTCCAGGTTGTCAATTGGCAGCCAAGGCCCCATTGAATGGGAAGCCCTTGGCCGCCTTTTGATTCCCCTTGGTGCTTTTTGGCAGGGCTTTTGTGAGAAATTTGTTGCCCAGTTCTCTCTGTTCGGAAGCCTTCCGGTGCTTTTTCGGTACCCATTGCCTCCCTTTCCTTTTGCTGATCTTGTTAATTTGGTCGGTGGTGGTTGCCCATCTGGTAGCCTTTTTCACCCCTTTTCACCCCTTTCACCATGAGGATCTTTTACGGTGATCCTCTTTTTTGGTGACTCAGTACTGCTCTATTTGGATTAGCATTAACAATCTAGCCTTTTGATATTCCCACTCTTATCCTAGTCTTATCTCGTTTTAGCTGGTTTTAGTTGAAACTTGGCCACCTGCAGGTCCCGTTTTGGTAGGTAACGCCTCTGCGATTAATAGCCCCTCTGTGCAGGATCTATTGTTGTTGGGAATGCATTCTTCATGTTCTGACCATCCAAAAACGGATGGCGATGTGACTTCTTTTTAGTAGACAATGACTTAACGGTTGGATACACCAATGGGCACAAAGGGTAACATACCACGTACTGAAGTTGTTTCCCCTGCCAGTAGTAGATTGTAAAGTACGTCACTTCCCAACCTGGAGCACCGGTTGCCTAATTGGAACCTTGGACTTGGTTCGGAAGGAGAGGTTGGGATGTGCTTCCCAAACGAGACCTGAGGTCTCGTTTTCAGAATTACCTACAATTGCGCTTCTTAGATGGACTTGATCCTCCACCTGGAACCAAGCTGGATCATTCTTCCTTCCAATTGCCACGATGAATGTATTGCTGGCACCATTAGCATTACCTCGGCAGGCTCCAAAATTCACTGTCCATAGAAGAGGTGATTTACGGTTGTTCTTTGTTCGGTTTCCCATGAATCCATCCCTCCAGTTTGACTGTGAGTTAACAATGATCTTAGAACCCAGCAGTCCTGCATGTAACCTTTGTGAGGCCACCTTACTTGCACCATCTTCAAAAGCAATACTCTCAGTTACGTGAAAAACCATAGCATTTCCAGACCTTCGAGATTCTCTCACTTTCATTACATCCTTATCTAAATAGTGAGAATCAATACAATAGTTATCAATAGGAACATCATTTGCCATTGCAAATCTCACAATTTCAGGTAGGGGAACATATCCTATTCCACCAATCAACCTTACTCTTGGAATTGGTAAGTTGTTCCAAATGGAATGGGGGCCATTGGAGCAATACACCTTGCTCAGTTCATTATAGGAAAGTCCAGCATATAGTTCCTTCCTCAAACCCTTAGCAGTGGTGAATCTATTGATGAAACCTTGTCGAATCCTTTGTTATTTTGTGAGGGATTGAAACTGGAGGAAACCAACTAAAAGTAGGTACAGATTAGAACACAGACGGTCTCGCCCTGCTCAACGCACCTCAACTGACGCTGTTTCGTTTTCGTTCGATAGACCAAACCTGGTTCATAATTTTCGTTCGAGGAACCGAAACTTCATACCTACTTTCGGTTCAGTAGACCGAAACCTCGATCGAACGTGTTGGCTCGCTCGCTGCGGTCATTTTGAATCTGGCTTGGCAGCAGCCACAAAAAGCCACAGAACAACACCAACAGCACCATCCCACCCATTCAACAAGAACAAGTCAACATCTCTCTCTCTTCCAAGCCTTCCACACCCACAAAGCACCCACTATTGTCACTGTCTGTATCCCTACTGCTCCTGTGAACAAGAGATCTCCATTTTCCTGCTGCTGGTGCAGTTAAAAAGCAAGGTTTCAGTGTTCTCAGATTACACCAGAGTTTCCGTCGATCGAACCAAAATTCACTTCGTCGCAGAGTTTCTTGATTTTGGGTTTTGGTTACTAAAACAAAAAATAAATTAATAATATTGGTTATACAAACGAAAACTATTAAATATTATTGGTTCGATAAACGAAAATTATTAGTTAAATATTGGTTCGATAAACGAAAATTATGAACTAGGATTCGGTTGAATGAACCAAAATCTGTAGGATACTTTTGGTTGACCGAACCAGGTGCGTCAGTTGAGCAGGGTGAGACCGTCTGTGACATAATCCTTGTCCTTCCAAAAAGCTAGGAATTTGGTCTGGGGTTGGAATCATGTTTCCTGTGAATGCTCTCGCAATCAAGTATTGCGCACTTCCTCCATAGGATCCCAAGCAACTAGCATTCTCAGCACACCAATAAGAACTCATAGTATCATTTCCATCAAATGAATCCTTGATGTCATTCACTGAGGCCATCGGCGAGTCCTTGAAGGCTTCCTCCATCCAATTACATTTTGCTTGCAGTGTTTTGGGGATTCCGTGTTGATCTGAAGCTTCATTTGGATTTTTATCCAACTCTGGTGAGTTCTCGAAATTTTCATCCAAGCCGGCCAAGACAGCGAATCCATCAGTACACCCTGCTGGCAGGCTTGCATTAGAGGTGCGGAAAGAATTTTCCTCTTGTACGGATTTTCTGGAATGTGACAGTAGGTGACCTTTCAGAGCAGACCTCCCGATCCTTTGGTTGCAACTGATACAAACAAACCAAGAAGTCATCTTGCAACCATACACACAACACGAAAACTTAATAATGGTTATGGCTTGTGGTACATGTGGAAGGTTTTCCCCGATGGAGGTTGATAGGGTTCCACATTTCTTGCATAAAGCAAACGATAAATTTTTGGGACCCAATAGATTCTGGATGTATAAAGGAAGGCCTGAGAGCGAGTTGAGTGCTGAAGAATTTGACATAGTGATGACCTCTGGAAATTATGGATCCAATTTCCAAATTGTGTGCTTTGGATTATTGTGAGAGAACAATCACTTTGACCATGCACATGTGAACACGTACTGCATGTCTGGATCGATCGTCCTGCATGCCTGACGATCGAGTCCAGATCAGGATCATGCATGCATCATCCAAAATTGCATGCCAACCTCTATGCAGGCATTGTATATAGTATTTGATTGGATCAATCAAGATTATTATGACTTCTTATCATCCGAGATCAAGATGGATGAGACTTCCATTTGAAGCATGTGTCAAATTTGGTGTTATCACACACATAAGAAGCCAATCGTGATCTATACCGGTGAGATTTCAACCACCAAGGCGCGCCAATGGGGCGCCAACCATTGAGATAATTTGGCAAGACCACAATCTATACTAAAAAGTACAGTGCTTCTTTGATCCCAATGATACACTGAAGGCATCAGCAACTATAGTACGTGTTGGGGTTTGGGGTGCAACGAGTAGTCCAAGTTCTGTTTTCCTTGCAAAAAGTGGCCATTAGAATGGCGCAGAAAATGAAACAGTTATTCAATACCCCTAGCAGGGACCTTCTGTTCACTAACCATACTGAATCACACCATAGATCACTCGCTAAATCGCCAAGGAGATAAGGCTTACATCCCTGATTTGGGGGACGTATCTTCCAGTGGGCGTTACATTGACTATCCAATCTAGAAAATATATCTAAATGAAAACCAACCACAAAGATACCCTTGCAGGCCAAGCTTTCAGCCAAATGTTCAGTGTGGATGCCGGATCTTTCTTACAGGGAGCAAGGGGGACCTGCTAGCTTTGAACCTCACACAATTCTCCATTTTTTCCTCTTTGGGGGCATCCCCAAGATCTAACTTTGAAGCTCCCCAACATGCAATCCTCGATCCATCAATGCTGCATCTAAGGCAATTGCATACATTGCTCCATGAGTTCCAACAGGAACTATGAGTTCCCATTCTATTCCCGCTTCAACCAACAGTTGCCAAATTTGGTAGGAATAATAAGCAACAGATCGGGGAAAGGATCCAGGATTACATCAGTAATTAGATGCCAACGTCCACTCAGTCCTGAATACCTTTCTAATTGATGTGAGTTCTTAGATTAACTTGGAGTGTAACGCTTGGAGGATGAAACACAAAGGTTGCATGTTCAAGCCTTGTCGACAAAAAAGCCAACGGCTTCTTTGGTTATGCTTCCATAATTTCCATTTTGACACAAACCGTTGCAAACTTGGAGATCCATCAATATATCGGTTTCAACTTAAGTGAAGCAATGAATGCCACTGACCCCAGCAATGGCAGGAACCCAGCAGCTCCTGCAGCACATGACACCACTATTAATAACCAAAACACTGGAAATGATGGTGCTTTGGACTTCAACCATGTTCAGTATAGTGAAACTGAAAAGGAGACTTTGAAAACACTCTATCGTGGCAGCTTCTTTAGTTCCATCAGGGACAATGTTATTCATCGTGTCATCAGTAATATCAATGGTGTGAGTATATTGCCTGTTTTCAGTATCATTGCATGCAAATGATTATACTTCTATCTGACCCATTGTGTCCTTCAGGGATCCTCGAACATTGAGGCCATTCCCTACATTATTCTTCCTGGCAATTTTATCTATGCCAAAAGTAAGCCAAAAGAACCTGATCTAATCAATAGGTTGCAGTATGTTCAAGCTTTGGATCGTCGTTCTGAACAAGAAAAGGCTTCTGGTCACCAGCTAAATGTTAATGTGGAGATGTTGACCCAGATGATGGTGTCTCTCCGAAAACTGATTCAAACCATTGTAACGCCCATGATTGTCCAATTCTTCATCAAGAAAGTCATGACTTTCTATCCTCGTTTCAAATATAATAGATCTGATCCTCCAAGCACTATTGCACACATGACTTTGTTCTTTAAAGTCGGCCCCTGGGACAATGAAACTCGTGGCATTGCTGACTTCTGTCTACACAAGATTTGGCCTTCCGGTTGGGCACTTGCCATGGAGCAACAAGTTCTGAAGATGCTTGGAATCAAATATGGGCAGAAGCTTCCAGACTATGCAACCAAGAATACAACCCTAACTACCAAGGAGAAGAATCACCAAGGCAACTTCATCAAGGATATTTGCGTATCTGTGGCAGAACAAAGGACTCGCAGCATTAGGACTACCATTAAGTCGGAGCACAAGGAGGTGATCTACAGAAGGTTGAATCCTGCAAAAATCAGTAATAGTGTTGCATGGATTCGGAAGACCAACACGGAAGAGGATGGCTATAATGGCCTGCTAGGTGTGTGCGATTATCATCCAAGGGTGTTTCAGAAACACAAGGATATTGTATGGAAAAAAGAAGGGTTTTCCTTTCAAAATTTCACTCCATGCAATCCTCCCGCGACGCCTATACAACCAGTTGAGAGGTTCTCTGAAGTGCCAAGTCCACCAAGAACTCCTGAAACTCCAAGTGCAGCTGCAATGATGGAACTCTTGAATAACATGGATGAAGAATCCCGTAATGGCCTTCTCGCAAAGTTCACGACACCTCCCAAGATCTCAGACCTGAATGGGGATCCCATTGGGGATTCATTCAGCACTCCAGCCAAGACTCCAGCTAGGGACTCCCCTCACTTGCCAGATTCCAGTCCTACCAAGACTCCAACTCAGGATTCACCTCACGTAAATGGAGAAGATGATCCTTTGGGCAAGATGGCAAATTCACTGAAGAATCGGGGCCTGGAACCCCTAGATGGTTCTGATAGTTCTGATGAGGAGCAACTATTCAAGACTTTCCCTCCAAAACCAAAGAAGAAGAAAGGGGTGTCGAAAACCGTAAGTCTTTGTTGGTAAAATCAACTGAATCCATACAGCATGGGACTTACCCCATGCATTATTTTTCAGTTTGTGCCACTTCCTTCCCCCCCCCAAAAGAAAACAAAGGATAAAACCCTCCTTCCCAAGAAAGCAAAGACAAACAGGCCGAAGCAAGTTGTAAGTACTCAAACTGTGTGTCTTGATAAATCCGGAAGTACATGGTGAAACTAAGATTCTGTTTTTTTGCTTGAAGACTCCTTCTAAGAGCTCCAACCATTCTACTGCTGGGGCAAAACTGTCCAAGAATGACGAGCCACCACAAACACCACCACCTCCTCCCACATTCCCTGAACCCATTGTGTGTGATCCTTCATTGCATCTTGACATTGCAAACTTCACTAAGTTTGAAAAATCCTATTTCACACCAGCAATCAGATCCAAACATCCAGAATGGACTGAGAAATGTATTCAGTGTGAACAGAGCATTTGGGAACAGCCAGTCAAGGATGTTTGGATGTGTGAGAATACAAAGAAAGCCAATTGTTGTTGTAAGTATGCCTTGTGTAAACCCTGTTGGATGCAGAGACTCAAAAAGGGAGTCATGGGGCACCTAGCACTTGCCTCTCCCGAGAAAAGGCGGTTAAATGCAGAGGGCAGGATTTTGGAGGAAGAGGATGAATTTGCACCTCGTAAAAGTGCTAGAAAGAGGATCAAGCTTTCAGACAAAGAGAATAAAACCTATCAATTCAATACTTGAGTGGTTCCTGGCCGAGGTTCCATGGTTCCCATGAAAAAGAATGCCATGCAAGATTGTGGGAGGCATTGGCTTCCACTGTACCAACCAGAAAGACGAGGAGAATGAATCCATTGCATTACCATATTGGAATCCTTTGTGGCAGAGGTTGGCTGCTGCTGTAGTGAAAAAGAATGTCTTGTGTGAAGTTGTTGCTTCCACTGCAGCGAAAGCTGCTGTCACCATCGTTAACTTTTATTGTAGTCCATCCAAATGGATTTGTTGATTTGGTCACAGTTTTAGTCACTAATCTAGTCACTAACAGGATTCAAAGTTAATCCATTTAGTCAACTCGAAGCGCGCATACCTGGCTTGTGAACGGGTGGTTCAGAGGCCTGGCCAACTCTCTCTGGTTTGGACGCACACTTAACCTAGTCATTGTTACGTCATGCATGACTTCAATCTAGCATGACGTCAGTAAGTCACCGTGACATCATCATGTCTGAATCAGGTATTGACAATCAGTCATGCATGCATGCCTGCGTGCATGGTCTGATCCGGATGGGCTGCCATGCATGCGCAGCTATAGGACGTCACGAATTATCCCTAATTTAGCATTAAGTAAAATGGTCAGGTTCTTGTTCATAGCTTCTGTTTCTGTCCGGTGGTAAAAGTGAGGGCATGTGCCCTCCACTGTTTACTGCACCCTTGCTGGTTAGCAGATACTTCATCAAGATCTTGTTATGAATGGTGAATATCTAGCAGGGAGGCTTTGCCTCAGTGCCTCTCAGTGGACTCCCCCATGATTGTCTTAGACATCTAAGGGAAGGAAATTGAGACAAAAGGCCTGAGGTTTGAAGCTCTCTATTAGGTCCCTCCCACTCTGACTGTCACTGGTACCCTGACTCTGCCATATGGTGGATGAGGCGCACAGGAGATATTCCCCCACTATTTTTATTGAAGCCACACCACAACTGTGACTCAGATCTTCACACCAAGACTGTTAGGCAGCCACTCACCTGGCTCTCCAGCCAAAGATTTAGATGTAGATCCAGCAGAGCCTCCAACAGCCATAACAGCTATTGGAGGACATCCCCTGCTCAGCCAATGGCTCCCATAATTGTTTCTAACCTTCAGTTATCAACAGAGCCATTGCCTTCAATAGTTAGAAACAATCCGACAAAAACCCACACACCACGCACATCGCTTCGATCTACATCACCCACAATCCCAACAAACAGGCCTCAACCATGAGCATCCGATCCTACGATCCCACTACTGACTTCATTCATCCCACTCTCACCAACATCAAAGCACGCCCCAACCGTGAGACACTCAAGAAACTCATCAAAGAAAACAAAGACAATGCACAAAACATCCACAGCGCACGAGGAGCAGGAGACGAAGGCCACCTCCGACTCTGCTTCCCCCTCGCCACCTACAACGCTCGAGCTCACCTTGCAGGTACACCATGGGTAGACCCAGTCCATCCAGGTGCTAGACCAAACATTCCTGGAGGAGCAACTGCAGCACAAATCCAACAAGCTGTATCTGAACATGGCTATGACCTCCAAGAGTTTCAAATTTTCCAATCCACGGAAAGAGCGCTTCTCAAACTTACCATGAAAGCCATCGACGAAGTCTACTACAAAGCGCTCGAAGACCCCGACGAAGGCTATTCAATGCTCCACTACATGGACCTCATCCAACACCTCCTTGAGTCCTACGGACAACTCACCAATGACGACCTGGACAAAAATATCGACCGCATGAACGAACAATGGTCAGTCAACGTACCCATTGAAAAACTTTTCAACCAAATCAACGACGCACAAGCATTTGCCCGAGGCCACGACGAAATTACTGACCGTGCAGCCCTCCGAGCAGGACTCAAAAACTTGGAAAACAGCGGCGTTTTTCAAGTCGCCCTCAAAGACTGGCGTGCAAAGCTCCCAGCCAAACAAACATGGAACAACTTCCAAACATTCTTCAAAGCAGCCAACACCGAAAGACTTTGATCCGTAACCACCAAGCAAGCTGGCTACCATGACCAACACCAAGCCAACGCTGCGACCAACAACAACAAAGGAAACCCATTCATTATCACACTTGCAGACGGAGAAGCCATGTCCTATTGCTTCTCACACGGTCTCCAATGGGACCTCACTCACAACAGCAACACGTGCCGCAACCGCCACCCAGAGCACAACACCAAAGCCACTCTCAACAACATGCTAGGAGGCAGATGCCAGATCAAACGCAAGCCCGGAGAAGCCGCCATTGTGAAATATATACCAAACAATAGGCAACAACGCGGTGGCGGCAGCAGCAACCACTCCGAGCGTGCCACCAGTCAAACACGCACCGACAGCACCTCCACCACAGCTCCTTGGACGTTAGCTCTCTCACAAGCACGCAAACCTGAACCAGAGAGGAGCCGGTGACACCTAAACGTAGCAACACTAGTAGTAGCCAAAACAGTAACAATGACATTACACACACCGGTCCCCTCTCTACAATGATAAAAAACATAGCCGACACCGGCACTGACCAGCACTATGGCAATCGCCATGATCCGCGACATCGCAATGTCCAACCCGACAGTCAACCCATAGCAGTAGCAATGCCAAACGCCGACACAGAAACCAACTCCCACGTAGCCACACTACCCATACCGACTCTGCAACCCAAGGACAACCAAATCAAACTGTTCGACAACTTCCAACACAACTTAGTCTCCGTCGGCCAACTCTGCGATCAAGACTGCACCGCCCATTTCTCCAAAACCGACCTGCAAGTTAACAATAACCATGGCACAACCATCCTCCACGGCAAGCGCAATCCCCATGGAGACCGCCTATGGCATGTCGACTTCCCAGAACACTCAGCCAATGCAATCAACAAACCCACCGGAGCACAATTGGTATGATTCGCCCATGCAGCACTTGGATCCCCCTCTCTACCCACATTACTGCAAGCACTCCAACGCAATCATGTCCACGGCTTCCCTGGGCTCACAGCTGACACACTCCGACGCTGGCCACCACATACTGTCGCCACCACAAAAGGACACCTCAGCCAAAGTCGACAAAACCAACGCTCCACCAAAACTGACCTCACAAACCCATTCCTGCAACTCCCAGTCGAACCGGATACCATTACTCAGGACGACAACCAACAGCCTACACACCTGTGCTTCGCTGCAATCTGGGACGTACAAGAGGGCAAAACATACAGTGACCAAACCGGACGCTTTCCCGTCCCATCCCACCGAGGCCACCACTACATCTTCCTCCTGTACGATTACGATAGCAACAGCATCCACGTTCGACCCACCACAACCCGCACAGCCCACTCGCTTCTCAACGCCTACAAAGACGTCCATGATCTCCTCGTACTGAGCGGCCACAAACCACAACTCCACACTCTTGACAATGAATGCTCCACCGCCATGAAGCAATTCCTCCACACCAACAGAGCCATTGCCTCCAATAATTTTGAGTAGAAGAATCTGGTACGTAGTTGTATCTGGTTACAAGGATTGGATTCTGACCCATGACATGTAGAGTGGAACCCTACCTTATGACTTGAATAGTTTTCTATATCTTTTCTAAAATTTAATTCAATGCATCAAATGTGCTATAAAAACTAACACTAATCACTCTCCAATCGTCTTGCACAATAGCCCTTGTTTTGAACAACAAATGTTTACGAGTTAATTTTCTATAGTAATTAACAAATCAGCCTTCTTCACTAGGAAGCCTACCTTCATAAATTGTTTTGAGCCATGATTCAGAAACAGCACCAACTATATAGAAATATAGAGACATTCCAGCTAGATTGATCTAACAAGAACCGATGAATTCAGAGCAGGTTGCAACCTTTTCGACTAGCTTTTACTTGCTACCAGCTGCGATGGTAACTCAATACAGAAGCTTACTTCCATTATTCTTCCTTATCTAGTTTGATAGTTATATAAAGCTAGTGAATTAAGTTATCAAAATAAACGTTTGTTTTCAATGATCTCACTTTGTTGAATTATTCTATTTACTTTAGGCTCTCCAAATAGAAGAATAGTTTTCAATGACTTGACTACCTTATGACTTGAATATTTTTCTATATATTTTCTAAAATTTAATTCAATGCATCAAATGTGCTATAAACTAACACTCACTCTCCAATGCGACGGGATACAGCTTACAATTCAGCTTTACAGCTTTATAAATTGCGGGCCTATTCTAGAAAATAATCAATAACTACTCACTTATTTGGAAATACAAACTTTACATCTCTTAGATCATTAGATTAATCAATCCACAATGGTATTGTCGCATGATAGCATGCGAGGTTATGAGATGTTACTCATTCTTATTCTTATATGTCTATCCCTTATGGTTGTCAATGGAATGAGCTATCCCTTGGTACAGAGTCCTGAGTTTCCTCTCATTATCTTCATCGGTAGTCCTTCCCCTTATTGCAACTTAATCTGTCGATTGGATCCATATGATCCCTTTGTCGATACCTTGGATTCGCTCGCAAGCAATCCCCTTTTTGTTGATTCGCTCGTAAGCAATCCACTTGTTCCCTTTGTTCTTTATCCTGTTGTCGATCGAAATCACGATGAGGATCCTATTATCTTGACGACTCGGCTTGTGTGTCATGCATTGAGTCATGCTTCCGGAGCCACTTTACCCCCTATTATTGGCCGTTCCTCCGGTTGCTGGCTTGCTGTTGCAGTCGGTCGTTTGAACTGGCTTGCAGTTGGTCGTTTGAAAGATAACAACGCGCTGTCGCTGTTAAATTTAAATTTGAATTTGCCAAACAATTCGGGGTGGGCCTCAACCTCAACGTCAGATCCAACTGCTCATTATCCACCGCTCTCCTCCTCCTGTTGCCATTGCTCTTGTTGCCATTGCCGCACTGTTGACCTTGTTGATTTTCACTGCCTCCTATTCCATCAGCTATTAATGGACCTTGACGACGCTTCCTTATCTTCAGCATCCTCTTCATCATCAACTCCTTCAACAGTACCAGCGCCATCCTTGTTCAGTCCACAGCAGGGATTCAGACAAGCCTTCTTTGAATCTGATCCAGTCATCCCACCATCTGATCCTCCAACCATGACTACAGCACCCTTGACCACAGCTCAATTCCAGGAGCTCCGATAAAGTCTAGGAGCGAGAGCTCTGGATTCCGTCAGAGATAGCTCCAACAGCTATGCTGGCCTACAGCTCCAGCACCCACAGCTGGCTTATCTCCAGCCAAAGCAGCAAGAAAGGATCGTCCTTTCCATCATAGTTAAGAAAATAGTACGAAAGATTGAGACCGATCATGATTAGCTTGTAGCCCCTTTGATACCGCAGCAGTTGATACCTATCCTGTTGAGGCCGGGCAGAAGCAGTAGGAGGTAGCAGATAGTACTGTTCCCAGACTGCCACTGCACGATTGAATAACGAAGGCTCCCAGCTCCTGAGGAGAGCTGACCCAAAAGGGCCCAGCAGAGAGCTCTGCTGGCCCTCCTGTCTGACTGACAGGACCAAGTCCTTGGTTTGGTGCCTACTGGAGGTGTTGGAATACTCCTGAGGCACGACAAGGCTCCCTGAACTGCCTGACTGCCGCTGTCCCTGAGGAAGGATTTCAGCGAGGTCCAGTCCACTACTTGGGTATTGGAACTGATCCTTCCAGAAACTTATTGGATTAACAGTCGCATAGTTTTCAGGCAGTTTTAAGGGAAGAAGAGACCTCCTTGACGAGAAAAGGATCTCTTTGCATTACAACAATCAGTGCTACAGCTACAGTTGGATTCATTGGATTTCATTGGAATTTGGTGGTGATTTCAAGGCCCATCTTGCAGTCTTATCTCCACAACCTTCTGGTCAATTTTGATACTTCCAACCTTCACCACAGTGACATGAACCTTTGACTTGACCATCTACCACTCCTACAAGGCCAACACCATCACCATTGCCTTGAAAAAGGACCTAGATATCAACCAACTTGACAAGGACCTCATTGCCGATAGCGAGTTCCTGTTGACACGAAAAACAAAGGAACCACTTCACTCGAAAGAAGAAGCAGTTACAGTACGGTGAAGGGTGAAGGAACACCTGGAGTCTCCGAGAGAACGAAAGACTTATTGCGTTCGCACCTATCTTGGCAATCGCACAAGTCTTTTACGTCTCGAGGAATCCACTGTTTATCACCGGTGTACGACGATTATCTCTTTTGAGTACGGGCTTATCGCTCTAAAGTCACTTGAGCGATTCACGAAGAACGTTTGGATTTATTGTTGATTTCGAGGCTTATCTCCCGTGCAGTTTTGGTGTGTCACGAGTTTCCGTCCTGTATCCGTTTCAGCAAACCCGGACGCTCCAAGAACACGATACGCGGAAGCCAATCAGCCAATCAAAACTTCTGTGCAATTTCGGTACTTATCGCTCGTGCACTGAGTCAGATTTCACTTTTGCGCGGAACGTACCAGAAGCTTCTCTTCGATCTTGGATTGCTGGTACCGCGCGAAGACTTATACAACAACGTTCCCCGTACCGGTTCCCGTTCCGAAAGCAGGATTGCATTCGGTAAGCTCGCTGGGCTCACATTTTAAAGGTTTTACACCGTCGACTCATTGAAAATCGTGAAATCGTGATTTTCCTTCTGTACGGAGCCATCAACCTACCGATTCGAGTAACTCCAGGACCACGGAGACCATAACGAACGAAGCGCTCCGAGTGGCTGAAAGTGTTACCAGTGCAACCGCCATCCCTCAATTGGTCAGTGGATAACTCACCTTGAATTTTAGGAGCTTTTGTGGGGAGATTCATTGGCCCCACAAGCTAGCTTCCACTGTGGCAAAACCTCCACAAACCAAGCCAATTCCCAGCACCACGGCAATTCAGGCAGCAGGTTCCAGACCCTCTACACTGGCTACCTTATTCAACTACACCTAGATTGAATTTTCCAGGCCCATTGCAAGGTTCCTGGAGGTCATCTTTCTGGATTCCAGATTACAGTTGAGCCAGTCTTTATTGCACTGCCACAAGAGCTGAAACCAAGTGTTGCCACCAAGTACAGCCTACACCTCTTCCTTGGCAGAAAGAAAGCAACCATGTCACTCTACATACCCACAGTGACTCCTCCATCATCACGGAAGGCCTCGAAGGCTAGAGAACCAAGGAAACAGGCTAGCCCAAGAACTTCTAGCCATCCTTCCCCTACAACCCGGGAGGATACGGTTCAGGCCATCATGAAGAGTCTGGATGAG